AGGGGTCTGCCAGGAAGGCCTTCACCTGCAAAAGGAGGGGAAAATAAGGTAAACTCAAAGGAAACAAGTATTACGAAGGATTGAACCTTTGCAATCGTTAAGGGAACACTGGCAGCTTGGTAGAAGCCAAAGAGTTGCACTTATCACTGCCATAAATGAAGACTCAAATGACAAAAGACATTTCAGCTACACTCAAGTATAACAGCCCCAGGAGGGGAAGGAATGCCAAGTAATTCAGCTTTCTCCTGCCAATGGTACACAACGTATGAAAGCAGACACCCCTTTTCAGGCCAGGTCCCTCACACACAGGTGGGCCTGAGTCCTTTCAAACGAAGTGACACGCAAGGCGTTTCTGTCAAAGTGCCCAGCCGCATTTTTAACAGCAGACAGGACTCAGCCATTACCTTTTCAGCCAGCGGGAAGGTGTAGTCGGTCTCCACTGCCACAGCGAGGACCCGCTTGTACCCATTAACGATGGAGTGGGGCACAGAAGCAATGGTCGGGTACCCAATTTGCAGACAGACGCTGGCAACATTACGAACACCCTGTGAGAAGAGAGACTCATGTTTCTGTGCTCTGAGAGGTAACGACTAGAAACCAACCACGGCAGGTGACAACACATTCCTATACTGCCAATGTAACGAGGGACAGCGTGCAATGAACTCAAGTAACGCAGCTCCAGTGAAGTTAGTCAAGGATTTAAATGGTCTCAAACACTTTCTGAAGTAGCTTCAGATGAAAAAGCCTACAGAAGGTACTCCCTGACAGACTGTTTCTTCAGGGCACTGGGGAGAGCTCCTGGCTCTGCAGGACCCCACAGAAAATACCAGAGATGACACTTCTGTGTCATTCTGGGGCAGTGCTGGCTGCCACAGCAGTTAGGCAGAAGAGGTGGAATGTAATGGATAGGGGTTGTTGCACTCACTTCCAGGAAGCGCTTATGCAAGGTCTCCTCGGTGATGTCCAGCACTTCGGGATTGTAAATGCTGCCATTGTCAAAGACCTGCTGGATCACCAACCCGAAAGAGAAGGGGGAGATGTTCAGCATGTTCAGCAGCTGGCACCCACTTTGTCTCCAGTCTTGATGAGCTGCACATCACTCTGAAGAAATAAGGGGAAAAGTAGTGAATACGCAGAAAGAAACTCAGGCATGTCAATCCAACCGGACACAAACACACATTTCCAATGGCAAGAGATGGAAGCAAAGGAACAAACAAGCACAACAAAAATGGGCTCTAAGTTCAGCTCCGCAAGTTGAGAAATCCCTAGACCATGCAAGAAGGTACATCTCAGCTAGGAGAAAGACAAAGCCCTTCCTGCATTACCTACAGGTAGCTCACCTGCAAGTAAGATCTGATGGAGAACTTAAATCCCCCCCCCACGCTGCATACCAGAGCCAAGCCAGACATCCTCCTTCAAGTTCCCAAAGTGCCGCAGAGTCAGACTGCTGATGCAGGATTTCAGCATGAATGGGAGTTTTGACCTTCACAGCTCCATCAACAGCCACAGTCAGGACCCTCCAGTCAAGGAAGAACTTCAACAACAGCAACACACTGCTCACTAACCAGAATTTCAATGGTCCCTCTGGAAATCTTTGTGGTGATGCCCAAGGCCTGGAAAAAGGAGGTCTTCTCAGGTCCAAGACCAGTGTTCTGGGCCGGCACAGTCACGTCACAAGGAGCAATAGCACCGGCACGGGCAGCTGCTGGCACCTGAAGAAAGGGAAAACGAGAAGCTGAAAGAATTCTCACCTCAGATGGGATGGAAACAACTCCCTCCTGAACATCCTTCCAGGATGGACATCACCCAGGCACACACAAGCAAGACAGAAGTTGAACTTGAATAGTTTGTCCAAGGCTGCAGGGGCCTAGCTCCCAATCCTTGAAGACTCCTAATAATCAGGTATTCCCCATGCATTTTCAGTTTTATTTTTAATTCGGCATCTGCCAGCCCACAAACATGGTGAGGGCTGATCTCCCCTACCTTGTTAGCCAGCAGCATGTCACGGATCTCAGTCAGATCCTCCTTGGTGAAGACAAAGCCCACATTCCCACGGATGTGAGGCAGCAGCCTGAAGGAAAGATGACAGCCTTCAGTTCTACTTCTCAGACAACATCTCCTCCTCCCAGACAGAAGATCCAGGAGTACATTCAGTGTTACCCACTTTTCTAAGGCAGGGTTATTCTCCAGATGACCACGAATAGCTTTGCGCATCATCGTATTCTTCCCCATCAGCACAACAGCCTTCCCACGCAGAGACATACGGATTTGCTGCATCTGCTTGGATCCCACATTGTCTGCTCCCACAATGAAACATTTTGGGTAATCATCCAGGAGTTGCTATAGTGAGAAAAACACTAACTATACAAAGAAACAGGGACCAGTGCACAGAGCAGCATTAAAACCTCAACACGTTAAAATGCCAGAGTGGCGGGGGGGGGAGAACTGCAGAAGGTTGAGAGTGCTCAACTCAAGATGACACTGGGTGCACCACAAGGCTGCACCTCTCACTCAGCTATCTAGTTATAACCCTAAACAAATTATCTCTGTAACTGCCACAGCAATTCTCACAGGAGCCTTAAAAAGGTCTGATCTAGGCTACCTTATTCTCCTCCTATTGCCACATAATCACTCCTTAAACAGATACGCTATGGCACCCCATCTTTTTTTTAAAGCGACGCCCCCAAGACACCTCACAGCCCGATTCCCGCTGGCCCGAGCAGCGCCAGGACCACTCCCTGTGGGCCGGGCC